AAAGGTCAAAGGTCAAGGTCATGTAAAAAAGGCAAATTGTGTGTTTTTGGCACTATTTAAAGAGTTTTATGTGTGGTTTAGTGCTTTTGTAGGTTGACATTGACCTTTAACCTTACTACTTGTTAAGTGATCTCTCAAAAGATAAATCCCATGTGTTTAGATATAGTATTTAGGCTTTCTATTCCGTCTTTGCGTGATCAAAGTGGATCCGGTCTCTGTGTTAACCAACCAGTCAACCAACCAGCCAACCAACCAACCAACCAACCAACCAACCAACCAATCAATCAATCAATCAATCAGTCAGTCAGTCAGTCAGTCAATCATTGCATGCATGTTTCTGTCTCGTGTGTTTAATATGGGGACCAAGATCTTATTTGTTTCTATTTCGATTGTTTAAAGAGACCATATCCCACGTGTTTAATTAATTGATCAATCAATCAATCAATCAATCAATCAACCAACCAACCAACCATTCAATCAATCATTGCATGCATACATGGTTCCGTCTCATGTGTTTAATATGGGGTCCAAGATCTCATTTGTTTTTTTTTTTTTTTCGCTTGTTTCAAGAGACCACCATATCCCACATGTTAAATTTATTAACCAACCAACCAACCAACCAACCAACCAATCAATCAATAAACCAACCAACCAATCAATCATTCATTCATTCATTCATTCATTGTATGCATGTTTCCGTCTTATGTGTTTAACACGGGGTCCAAGGTCTCCTTTGTTTCTTTTTCGCTTGTTTCAAGAGACCCTATCCCACGTGTTTAATTATTCAACTAATCAATCAATCAACCAACCAACCAACCAACCAACCAATCAATAAATAAACAAACCAACCAACCAACCAATCATTCATTGTATGCATGTTTCCGTCTCATGTGTGTAATATTGTATTTACATCTCTTCTGAAGAAAAAAAAATCCACATGCTTGTTATCAGATGTTCTGGGAAACTACATGTCCAATTGACCTTAAAAACTGCAGTCAGCAGGGTATACACGTATTACATCTTCATAAAAGAACGTGGTGCAGATATCTCTCAAGAATTTTCCTAGAGAAAAGAAATTGTAATGCCGTAAAATTCGCTTGCTAGTTCCGTAAATCTCAGTGAAATCCTACAATAAAATGTCCGCTCCTAGATTGAAATACAAATCTGTGTTACAAACTGCTGCTGAAAAATGTACATTGTATGAAAACAATCGATAAACGTGTTTTAAAGTTACACAGGATCAATTAAATCCAAAGCATGCACTGCTCGTGAACTGTGATCGAAATGTCAATTACCTACAATGACAAAAGAAATACATTGTGTGTATTCCGTCGCTATACATGTTGTCTGTCCAACGTCCCCACCTAAAAAGAAATAAAAATACTAAGTTTTCGCTATTATAAAGCTTCGTCACGTGACTCCACAATCTGGCGCGAGACAAAGACGCGCGCGGGACCTAAAATAGAATAAAAACTTTCCAAACTAAATATAGAAACTTAACCAACACACTAATATGGACCTTTCAAAGAAAGAAAGAAACAAACAAACAAACAAACACACAAACAAACATACACATATATCAATCAATCAATCATGTTTCAGAACGGGAAAGACCGTTTACAATTGCTTTTTTAAGCAATTGATTTATATTGTAAATCGGCATTTTTAACCATTCTTACATGTACCGTTTATATAACAAATTGTCTCCATGGGACCCCCTTTTGCCCCCCCCCCCCCTTTTTTTTACCCTCCACTTCACTTACAACTCTTGTATGAAGCTATGTGCTATCTACTCTGTCAACGGAGAAGAACGACAACTCCATTTTTTTCCCTATAATTAAGGTCTTTCCTTTCTTAATGGAAAGACCTTACTGTATTTCGTTTGTTTATTATTATTATTATTCTTTTTCCTCGTCCGATTTCAAAGTCAAAAGTCAAAAAAAGTACGCGACAGATCCAAATGATCTTTGGTATTAAGTATCGGGTTAATAAAATCTATCTTGTATTAGGGGCACCAAAGTGTACTATTTACCTTATAGGAGTTATCTCCCCAATTACAAAAACCATTGTTATCGCTACTCTTCATAAACCATAAGAGTTAGCGGCAAATGGTTTTTTTTAAAATGTTCCTTGTCACATGTCGCAACTTTAAATAATTTCAACCGAAGCGATCCAGTGACTTCTTATAGGAGTTATTACCCCTTGAATATTTTACTTTTAAATATGCATATGAATCTCATGAACCGCAAGTTGTAAAGACCTAGGGTATTTTGATTTGAGATCATTGGACCATAACTTGAAAATATAGGTCAAGGTCAAAGGTCAAAGGTCAAGGTCATGTAAAAAAGGCAAATTGTGTGTTTTTGGCACTATTTAAAGAGTTTTATGTGTGGTTTAGTGCTTTTGTAGGTTGACATTGACCTTTAACCTTACTACTTGTTAAGTGATCTCTCAAAAGATAAATCCCATGTGTTTAGATATAGTATTTAGGCTTTCTATTCCGTCTTTGCGTGATCAAAGTGGATCCGGTCTCTGTGTTAACCAACCAGTCAACCAACCAGCCAACCAACCAACCAACCAACCAACCAACCAACCAATCAATCAATCAATCAATCAGTCAGTCAGTCAGTCAGTCAATCATTGCATGCATGTTTCTGTCTCGTGTGTTTAATATGGGGACCAAGATCTTATTTGTTTCTATTTCGATTGTTTAAAGAGACCATATCCCACGTGTTTAATTAATTGATCAATCAATCAATCAATCAATCAATCAACCAACCAACCAACCATTCAATCAATCATTGCATGCATACATGGTTCCGTCTCATGTGTTTAATATGGGGTCCAAGATCTCATTTGTTTTTTTTTTTTTTTCGCTTGTTTCAAGAGACCACCATATCCCACATGTTAAATTTATTAACCAACCAACCAACCAACCAACCAACCAATCAATCAATAAACCAACCAACCAATCAATCATTCATTCATTCATTCATTCATTGTATGCATGTTTCCGTCTTATGTGTTTAACACGGGGTCCAAGGTCTCCTTTGTTTCTTTTTCGCTTGTTTCAAGAGACCCTATCCCACGTGTTTAATTATTCAACTAATCAATCAATCAACCAACCAACCAACCAACCAACCAATCAATAAATAAACAAACCAACCAACCAACCAATCATTCATTGTATGCATGTTTCCGTCTCATGTGTGTAATATTGTATTTACATCTCTTCTGAAGAAAAAAAAATCCACATGCTTGTTATCAGATGTTCTGGGAAACTACATGTCCAATTGACCTTAAAAACTGCAGTCAGCAGGGTATACACGTATTACATCTTCATAAAAGAACGTGGTGCAGATATCTCTCAAGAATTTTCCTAGAGAAAAGAAATTGTAATGCCGTAAAATTCGCTTGCTAGTTCCGTAAATCTCAGTGAAATCCTACAATAAAATGTCCGCTCCTAGATTGAAATACAAATCTGTGTTACAAACTGCTGCTGAAAAATGTACATTGTATGAAAACAATCGATAAACGTGTTTTAAAGTTACACAGGATCAATTAAATCCAAAGCATGCACTGCTCGTGAACTGTGATCGAAATGTCAATTACCTACAATGACAAAAGAAATACATTGTGTGTATTCCGTCGCTATACATGTTGTCTGTCCAACGTCCCCACCTAAAAAGAAATAAAAATACTAAGTTTTCGCTATTATAAAGCTTCGTCACGTGACTCCACAATCTGGCGCGAGACAAAGACGCGCGCGGGACCTAAAATAGAATAAAAACTTTCCAAACTAAATATAGAAACTTAACCAACACACTAATATGGACCTTTCAAAGAAAGAAAGAAACAAACAAACAAACAAACACACAAACAAACATACACATATATCAATCAATCAATCATGTTTCAGAACGGGAAAGACCGTTTACAATTGCTTTTTTAAGCAATTGATTTATATTTTAATTTTGCATTTGTTCGATTCATAAAGTAATGTCTAAGATCAATTTTCAGCTGTATAATATATTTTTTTTTACAAATTTAAAGAACAACCCGATCAATGTACGTGTTCCTAATAACTTTTACATAGTCTTCAAAATATGACAAACGATTATCTATAGGTATTTATTTTAACAACAATTTTGGTGACAGTCGTGCCCTATGTTCTATATTATTTATACTGATTTTGAAAAGAAAGAAAAACATTAAACTCTAAATAATGCCAATATAAACTGAGAATATGCAATTAGATACGCAAAACAGGAACATAGAACATATCAGAAATGGAAAGTATTCTAACTTTTGCTCAGCAAATAGTATTAACCTCAGTGAAAATCTTCAAATATGTAAACAAATTGAGAGCAATTCATCGAATATTTTTTCCATTGTCCATCTACTAAATATGACATAAAACCGACTACTAAAAAATATGTTGATTTTGATAATTGATGTGAATATAAGCTTTAACATTGTAAGCGGGCTTTGTGTGTGTGTGTGTATTTGTGTAATGTCAGATACATGCATTTACTTGTAGTCACTGTTTTCTCGTTTGTTTGTCAGACCGAATTTCATATTGAACACAATATTTTTTCCTAAAATTGCCCGATGCTACGGTAGTAAAAATAATCATGCTTTGTATTTTGATAGTCGTTGTGGTCGTTGCTTACTTTTTTTCGAAACAGTGTTGTGCCTTGTTACATTGTATGTTGATCGTCGTCGTTTCACATTAAATGCAATGTCGTTTTTTTAAAAAGATTATCCGACGCTACTGCCGTAGCAATTATTATGTTTGTATTTTGTCGATTGACCCTGTGTTCGTGGGTAGGGATTTTTGCAAGCAAAATTTCGAAACATTTGTATGCTTTGTTATGTTAATCGTCGTCGCTGTCGTCGTCCTCTTCCTCTTCCTTCCCCTCCTCCTCCTTCTCCTCCTCCTCATCATCATCATCATCGACGTCGTCATGGTCGTCATTACTTTTTGAAACCATTTTCAGCATTTGATTTTGACAGTGGAAATGCAGAACTCGATGCGTGGCTCCCTGGAGTACCGGACACCCCAATATTGAACATAGACCAAAAAGGTACATGTGGGGACTTAAAGAAGTTAATACCGAGTATAATTTGCCCAATAAAGAAGAATGGTAAGTGTAGTGATTTTGTGCTCGTTTTGTTGCTTTTCAAATAATTATGTTTTAATATATATTGCGGTTTTTGATAGGTTATATCGGGTATGCATTTAGTACGCTGTGATTGTTTATAAAAAATACTGCAGATTTCAACTAAATGTTTTTATTTGACTTCTCGGAACCTGTTAGGAGTGTTGCTTTAGGGGTTTCTTGGGCGGCAGTATATAACCAACCGCTGTAGGTACCTTAGCTAGCTTTCTGAAGCGGCGAACAGTCACCAAAGAGTGTGCCGAGTTTATTTCTTTGCTAACGTCAGTGTTTATCCTTTTGGGAGCTGCAATGTGCAGGTTTTTTAATTGTGTGTTTTAGTTTTACGACAAATTATCTAGATGACTTAACTGGTTTAACCCAATCACATGTTGTACATTGTCAAGTCAAGCTATCTGGACGTGTGTTTTTCGTTTTTGTTGATGTTTATTTGTATGTCTGTATGTTATATCGAAGGAGTCGCGTGTTGGTGGTTAATGTTGCCTGTTGTGCTGTGGTCATTTCGTCGATTCACCCCCTGTTCCATCTTACTGTATTTGGTGCTCTTAAATGTGCATAAAAATCTGTTCTTTCTTTCCATAAAATTTGTAATTGGTATTTTACGGGTGGTTTTGGGGAAGAACTTGGATACTTTATTCTTTTTTCGATTTCTTTCAAATTTTCGCAGATAAAGTGTGACAGGACTCTTTTGGTGACCTTTTTTCTCTTTATACTGTAAAATATTATCTCGGCTGATGTTTTTAGCCCGAACGAAACCTATATCAATGTCGTTTCTTCTGTAGCCAAGGTAATAAGTTAACCTCGAAGTACTTTACATTATCATTGGTGGAACAAATCCGATGGCCTGGCTGTATGGAATGCTTTTGGTACATTGTTCTGGGTGACAACACAGGAGAGAAAGATACTGATGTTTGTCTGTAGTCTTGCAATACAAATCTGTTAATATGATTCCGTCCTTCATTGGTGTATTAGTGTCAAGGAATGTGATCTTAGAGGCAAATATTTCATAAGTGAATTTTATTGAAGGATGTGCGTTGTTGGCATGTTGAATGAAGACATTGAGTTCTTGTTCATTATTGTGTCAATGTCGTCAATGAATCGGAACCCAGAGAAAAAAATTTGCTGTTCCAATTTGCATAGGCTAGAGCCATCTTTGTTGCCATTACAATTCCATTAACCTGGAGATAGCGTTTCCCATTTAATGTGAAATTATTGCATATCAATACCATAGTTAGAAGCTGGACTATAGATTCAGTTGGTTGGTATAATGTACTGTTCGAGTTCCAGACTATCCTACAGTCTTCAATACATCTTCATTGGGAATGATAATATAGAGGGAGGTAACGTCAAGCGAGCGAGACAATTGAAGGATTGTTTCAGGTAGGAGAGGATTCAATGATTCCATTTTCTTAAGATGTGTTGTATCTTTTATGTGTTATTTCATATTTTCTACGTGCGGTCTTCGATAAAAGTCAATAAACTATTTGTGTATATATTGTTTTAAGATGTAAATGTTGGTCTGTCAGGATTCAGATGACATTAACGTGGTTCATTTGTCAATGCTAAATGTGGTGATTAGGCCTATTTCTTACTTCATTTGACCTACCGAATTAGACTTATCAACGGCTTTGTTATAACATGAGCAACACGACGGTTGCCACATGTAGAGCAGGATCTGCTTTCCCTTCCGGAGCACCTGAGATCACCCCCAGATTTTGGTGGGGTTTGTGTTGCTCAATCTTTAGTTTTCTGTGTTGTGTTTTGTGTACTGTTGTTTATCTGTTTGTCTTTTTCTTTTTTTAGCCATGGCGTTGTCAGTTTTTTTTCGATTTATGAGTTTGAATGTCCTTTCGGCATCTTTCTCCTCTCTTTTATTTGACCCTTTTAACTTGTATGATTCGAGAGTCACTTATGAGTCTTTTGAAGACGAAATGTGCGTATGACGTACACAATTTTAATCCTTAGCTAGTATCTATGATGAGTTTATTTAGATACTAAAATGTCCATCTGACAGGGTTTATGTTACCGTGACCTTATGTTTCATGGATCCTTAATAATATTAAGTTTCTGTTATACTTGTATTAAGACCTTGATCTTAAAGACTTTTCAAACAATTCAATCGTGTACTAGGAATCAGTAAAGCAGGCGAGACTTTTCAGAGTGTGCACTATCAAATTTTATTGAAAGTGTGTTCTCTTGAGAAAATTAAATTTGCTCTCATTGCATTCAGGGGATTGACAACCACTAATAAAAAATTCTGGTCAGAAAATGTTTTACTGAACGTAAATGATTATAATATTTCAGATGAACTAAACAGTCAGTTCACTTTCCGTGATTTAAGAAGACTCCCAACAGTACGTATATTTATTTTACCTAACTTTGCTTGTATTAGTTTGAACACTAGAAAAAAGTACTGAACTATAAGCGTAGAAAAAATATATAGGCTAGCAGAGTTCTATTAGAATGTCAAAGAAACAAAGAAAATATTAAAGTCAGTATTACATTTGTATAACAGATATATACACTCCGCACGTTGCATTCTAGTCTAGGGGGCAATTTGTTAAAATAGTAATTTCGTATTTCATTTAAGAAACAAAATATGTTTAGAATTTGATTTGAACAAGGACAGTTTTTAATTTTTTTTTTGTGTTTGCCTTCACTGACCCGGGTTTTTTTTACACCTAAAACTATACGTTGAATTGATATTGATGGCAGTGTCTAGTTGATCTGTGCTTGACATATGGTGATCGTATTTTTATCTGTTGTTGTATTGTGTTGTTGAGTTTCTATCTCATTGACAAAACGCGCGTCTGACGTACACATTTAAATGCCTGGTGTCTTTAATGAGATTTTACAACCAGTGGGTCGATGCAACTGCTGGTTGAAATTTTGTCCCCGAGGATATCACCGGGCCACTAGTCAACAAGTTCGTGTTGTCAATGAAATGAAATATCATTGATATGTTCATTTCCTGTAAATTTACTGTTTTTCTACCCCCAGGTATAGATTGGCATAGCCGTATTTGGCATACATTTTTTTCTCTCGGAATTTTCGATATATAAAGTTCTTCAACTTATTTTTGATTCGACCTTCCAAGTGCTTTAATAAGAGCGCCCCTGATGAGTTTTATGTAGACGGAAGCCGCGTCTGGCGTATAACGTCTACTATCTGTGATGAGGATTGTGTAGACGGAAGCCGCGTCTGGCGTATAAAATTATACGTCTAGTATCTTTGATGAGTATTGATATACATATACCGTTGACTTAATTGTATTTTTATTTTAAACTTTCTATGTTCCGTGAGGTTTCCTTGAGTTTAAGGAGCTGTTAGTTTGATTTGATGTGCAATTATGACCCCCCCCCTTCCCCCACACCTTGAGGTAGCTATATAGACACTTAGACACTGAAGCCCGCCTCCGGGTCCGGGATTTTCTCGCTGTGTCGAAGACCCATTGGTGGCCTTGGGCTGTTTTCTGCTCTTTGGTCGGGTTGTTGTCTCTTTGATACATTCCCCATTTCCATTCTCAATTTTACTTATTTGATCCATTGTAACTTATCTGTCAAGTCCTGCATACAGTTGTTCATTGTTCATATATGTATCTCTCAGAAAATGATTTTCTTTTTACAGGGAAAGTTCGATATCGAGTTAAAGTTAACAAACGACAAAAACGAAGTCTTTCTTTGCGGACGAACCAGCATAGAACTGATCCCTTGAACAGATTTACCAATTCGAATTTATTAGACACTATACTCATATCTGTCAAATTTTCGAGATATTGGTATATTCAGCTCTGGCGATTGAGATTCTTATTCAGTTTTTATTTATTTATTTTATTTTTTATGAGGGAGTTTCGAAATAGACGACTATAAATATGGAACTGAATACACCAATGGTTAGAAACACAGTAAACACTATACATGTTGGCAATTATTGTTTATTGTATGTTATAAATAAAACCAGACCGGTTGCAAATATTACATTTATATTAGGTTTGTTCATAACGAGGCAAATTGTATGATGTTCGATTGAAATTTATAAAGCACTATGATTTGATTTACCTGCTATGTGTAAAGTTTCCAATATTTATTTACATTTTGCATTGCATGTACAGTTCTAAATGTCAAAAGAAGACTTTCGTTCTATAATACTACAAAATGTTTACATCTTCTTGTTTTGGCAAGACTTCCATTTAAATCCCCCTTTATATATGTCTATTCTTTTTCCGTTATAAAGAGATGTTCACAGGGTTTTGTTAATCAAAATTTTGTTTGTGACTTATTTGGCAATATTTATAAAACCCCAATAATCCTTTGTAAATGAGCAATTGGTATCATGTTGGCAAAAAATTCATGTTAATATATAGGTAGATAGAATAATTTATGTGAATAGCGTAAATATTTACAAGTAAGAAAAGGTAAATAAATACTAGACTCTCGCACGCATAAAGGGAAAAGCCTATAATAATATATCGGCTTTTAACATAGTAAGGGTAAAATAATCATTTTCTCTTAGCAATATCGAACAGCGATGCGAGTAATCTGTCTAAAGAAGACAATTTTTTTGTACGTTGATATCAGCAAATTAAAAGGAAAACAATGTGTGGTATGCATCAGCTTTGACTGCTCTTAATATTTTTCATGTGAAGTCTGTGTCATTTTGTCGCGAAATCCTACATTCCGTCGTCGGCGCCAACATATAAGTTTCAGTGTTTTATTTAATTTTTGGTTATCAATAACTTTGTCAAACCTTTATGGAATTTTACGAAACATGGACAGAAGCTTTTTTTTTATTTATTTTATCAAATGACAACATAAAAAGCAAAATTCAGAAAATATGATTATTGTATATAACGTAAATTAGTGTACAACATGACTAATTTCACATGTGCATGTCATAATCGGGTTTTAATTTTACTGGGAAAAAACAGTATTTTCCAATGAATCGATCATTAAATAATAAGACATTAAATGTCTGAAACAAATTTGGAAATATTTTTTATCTTTTTTTTCCGTATTTTACTGATATATGTTTGCTTTCTTAGTTAACATACAGTCTGGGATTTAATTTTGTAGACATCAATACTGTTTAACTTTCATGGATGATATGAAACTTGGACAGAAGCTTCTTGAAGATCAAGAAATAGCATTTAAAGAAACAATTAACAATTCGAAATTTGGGGACTTTTTCCGTAATTCACTGATAAAATGGACTTACTGTTTGGGTGAACACAACACTTTTACACTTACAGCAGCAATCACAATTGTTCTACGAAACCATTTAAAGTATGGAATGTTTTACTTGTGTATTGTTTTATATGATTAAAGTATGAGAACCCACTTTTAACGTTGTTTCCAAAATCACTTCTAATCGTATACAGTGCATTCTATGTAAATCGTTAATTCCAAAGAGAAAACATAGATAAATCCGACACAGCAAAGCCACAACAACATTTCTCTATCTTCCGCTAAGCAAACGTATGTATATTTGTTCCGCCTAAAAGACGTTTCCCTGGAAACTTTGTTATAAACAATACCATGATATATAATACCTGTTCCTGTTGGAACAAATATTATATACCCTTTATTTAGTAAGGAGAAAATTCTGTAGAATTTGTTCCAGTGGAAATACAATTACAAAAAAGTTCTTCCATTTTGAACTTATGATATGAAGGAACTTCTTTAAACAATAACCTGCAGCACTCCAAACTGAACGTTTCAAGTAGAAACTCACCCGAATTTTTTTTCTTGATACACATCTGTTCCTACATGACTTGTATAACTGATATTATGTACCTTATTTTTTTTAAGTAAAGTGAAATTGAACATATACACAACAATTTAAATGTAACTTTTAAAATTCCTTTAATAAAATATCAACTTGACTGTGATAAATAAACCCTGCGCAACCCGATGTGTATCAAGTTAAGTTTTCCCGTATACAAGAATGTAACATACTTGAAAAATGATCCTAGTTGTACCATATTATTTTTCTTAGATTATTCAATATCCAGTATGTATCAAACGGAAGAATCAATTAACTTATACATTGTAGTATATACATTTGTAGTATTACGCACACAAATATACTAGTCAACAAAACAAACGATACAGGGCAATTCATATTCCATATACTAGTATATATATTGACATTAGATACACGGTACCAAGATTAAAAATTGCCCAATTGCATGGTAACTGTTGTTCCCGTTGTTCAATAACACGGTATTTTCTCACTTTCCGCTATGGTAAAATTTTTGGAATTTTTCATTGGAAAATTTAACAAATTTTCCTTTTTATTTTACTTTAGGATATGATAAATCCGAGATCAAAATTTTGTATCATTCCTTTTTTTGCTAGTATATTTGATTTTCTTCTTGAAAATAATGAGCTTGATGCTTGGAAGATAGGGTACACAATGGGAAAATCTAAAGGAGTCCATCAAAAATTTAATTATAATATAAATTCTACCTCTGCATCAAGTATGATTTCGAAATTTCTTCTCTCGGTTAAATTTTTTTATTTAAAACTCGAGGCTTACCAAGCTTTTAAAATATTTAAAATCTAAATCTCGAGAGAGGGAAAATATCGTATTACATGAGATTCAGTTTTGGAATTTGTTTCTCTGATGACTTTTTTAGAAGATATATAGACAACATTTTTGAATGATATACAGAGGACAGCAAGAACATTTATCTTTACGTCATAATAGAATTTTGACAAATGAAGAACTGAGATTTAACGAACCACACCACACGTAGGTAATAAAAAAGGGATCTTGAAATCGTTCAGGAAAATAATAAATCGGGTAAGAATTAGAGAAACAAAAATACCAAACTCCAAGGTAATTCAAAAGGGAGAAAGTTCATAAAACTTGACAAAACTAAACGCTCGCCTATATCAACCAACAAAATGAATGGAAAACAACTGTCACATTCCTGGCAATAAATCAAATCCCCAAGGACGCATAAATGGTAGAAGAGTCGATTACGCTCTGCATACTATGTCAATGAACAATCTTCATCTACATGGCACCGATAAAAGTTTCTTTCCGATATTTTTCGTTAAACCATCATTCATGCAACTGAGTCTATTTGTCAATTCCGTGTTTAATTAATTAGAGATCCATTTGCATGAGTGACGGATATATATATTTTCATTGAAGGTAAAAACGTATACGATTATATATAATATATGCCTTTAAACTTATCATGCTTTGCATGGATAGGAGACTATTTTGTCCAGTATTATATAGAACCAGTCTAAAATTGGCAAGGGAAAGAACTTGTGTAAAAGAATCAATTCGGTTATTAACAAAATAGACTATTCCCGCAAATATATCTGATTTCATCAACATGGAGCATTCAATTTCCAACAAAGTTGTATCAATAATCTGTATTAAACCAATAGCTGTTCGTTTCTTTAAAAAAATTATCCGACGCCTATTATTTTTACAGAATGGACAGCTATCTGTACTTTCTCAATAACATAGGCCCTAATTAATATTGGCAGGTACATATTCAATGAATTAGGTGACCCTGGGCCTTTGTTACATGTATTCACATACGATCACGATTTTAAGGCACATGTCACGTACAAGTCTTTCTAAAATAATATTCAGAAGGAACTCGCGTTAACAGTTTGGGAAGTTTCGAAAAACCGTCAAAGATCTAGTATTATTTACAATTAATCACAATTTATCATTCAAAGTGTCGTCTCGATATCATACGCATGAAGTGATTTTTTTAGGACTATTGTTACTATGTACACAGATACAAATGCGGAAGTTTGCAAACATTTAATTTCAGTCATATTATTCTAACCATAAACGTTTACTATAAATAGAAATATTGTGAGTGGGTATTTAAACATGTGATATTTCATAAAAATTGAAAGAGGAAGTTTAGACTTGAAGATTGTCCCATTTTATAATTTCCTTGTGGTTTTGTCAACGCATTATCGAATTGCATTTTAGTTAAAGCGCCTACATCTGCCTTCAAACTTGAACAGTCTTAAAGGTAAGCCAGCGTAACTTTAAGTTATAAAAATTAAGTGTAGGTTCTAGATCGAAAACTTTATAGTGTGTAATCGTAAGATTATCAAACGAGAAAACTTATCAAATGGGAAGGTCAAGGTATTCGGTATGTTCTGATTGATGATATCAATTTAATTATAATTCAGCTTCAAGAGTACTGTATATAGTCAAGTGTATAAAATAGTCATTACAACTGCAAAAATATTACATGAGATCCCTAATTTTGACTGCATGAAAAAATAAAAGGAAAATGTTATTATTGTTCAATCTTTGAAAAAGGAACGAATTAACATTGATGCAAATCTCATATCATATACTTATAATTATTGGGTGATATTTTTCAAGTGTTAGAATAACAACTAATTTTTAGCTCACCTGGCTTAGAGGGTCTTGTGAGCTATTGTCATCACTTGGCGTTTGTCGTCATCGTCCGTTGTCGTAAATTTTACAAAAATCTCACCCCCCTCCTTCCCTGAAACCCATTTTTTCAACCAAACGTTTTACTGAAGAATCCTATTATAAGGGTATCTTGTAAACATTTGTGTTTTTGTTCCACCCAAACGACCAAGATGGCCGCCATGACTAAAAATTTAACATAAGGGTACAATGTATTTATTGACTACTATTTTAAAAACCTAAATAGATAGAGAAAACAGGACAGGATAACAATGCTAAGAATTTCATAATCTATCTACTTCCTATTTATACCAAAAGTATCAGAAGACTCCTTACAGCTTATTGCCCTTTAACGGAGATTTTTGACTATTTTTGACGATTTTGCATATTACCTTGAAAATATGATTAAAATAGAGCAAAAATAATCAGCTACACAAGATCTATAAACTTTAATTATTGAAACAATCAAATTACTTCTTGTAGTAGTTATTGCCCTTGGATGACAGTTTTGATTAATTTTCGAGCTTTTGCCTATTATCTCAAAATTTATAATAGTTAGATTTAAACTTAAACAGCAAAAATGATCAGCAATTTAAACAATATCTACAAAAAATACCAATATGACCGAACCCATTTGATGACTTCTTATACAATATTTGCCTTTAAATGACGATTATTTTTTTATCAATTTTCGAGTTTTTGTCTATTATATCTTAAACATGTTAAACTATAATAGATAGGTAGCAAACTGAAAACAGCCATAAAAAAATGATAAACGATACAAGGTCTTCAAAATACTAATATGACCGAATCCGGTGGATGACTCCGTATTTTAGTGATTACCCTTCAATGACGATTTTTGACTAATTTTGAGTTTTTTGACAGGTGAACATGGTGAACGATTTAGGCTCTGAAGAGCCTCTTGTTGATCGTATCATATTATTATTTTGGGGGTGGGTCGTAGGGTAGTGATTAACGGATACCATATCTTAAATGTAGGATTTTTAATGTAATACACATACAGTTTCATCAGTGCGATAGATAAAAGAAAGATAAGAATGTAGTAGTATTTATTTTTTTATAAGATTTTCTTTAAAAAAGAAGAAAAAAGATGAAACGGAGGGAGGGGCAATTAAAAGAACAGATAAAATTTGACAACAGACAAATAATCCAGTACACAAAAATTATTGATTGAACAACATAAACCTACAAAAAACTGAGGACTTTTTATGCACTCCACTGGAAGAGTAATAATGGATTAAAACCGATGAAAAGCTGTACAAGCCATAAGTCATTCTTGATTATGTATGTTATTCTTCTATAGATGGAAAACAATATTTTCATACTTTTGGTATGTGTTGCCATTGCGACTGCATCCGGGCATTTCAAATATTACAAAATGGAAAGGACAGAAAAGGTAGAGGTTCGAGAATTTGAAATGGACCGTAATCCGTTCACATTACTTGGGAAGAGGAAGTTCCTCCAACAACGAGGAAATCTAACAAATTGTGGTAAGTACTTAACAAATTTTACATTTAGCAGGAACCTTATATATGCATATGTTAATAATTCTTTGTATGAAATATAAAGTTAGACTTTGCAGAAACAAGTTTTACAGAAAAGCGGAAATACGTCATGTGTAATTATTTCCTCAATAAGTAGATCTAAGTATAAAAAACAGATATTATATATGGGAAATTATTAAGAGTATCTCTAACTCATGCACTTAATATCCCTGTCAGATATGTCTATCATTTACAGTTATCAATAATGTTAACCAAGATTATTAAAATATGTACAAGTTGTCTACGAGAAGTTACAAAGCAAATCAAATCAAATATTTATTATTCTATAACCAAGGACCCACAGGAGGCATGTACAAGCAACACTTGTAATTAGATACATAACAATATAAGCAACACCATAATACATAATATAATAAACATACATATAGATTCTTACATTGGTACCAGTGGATTATCGGATTTATCCAATCGAGATGGTTAAATTATCGAATTTTATTTAAAGTCCGAGCCTTGGATATATATATATATAGTCGCAATGTAATCCAGCCGCGCTCGGGGAGGAAGTAAAGAATCAAATCTACTCTAACATTGTTAGGTTGATTTTCTAGGCACTTTATATATATATATTTGTATAGCATTCAAGATTTTTATTTCAGTTTGACTACCACATGTCAAGATAAGATTCATTTTACATCTTACTGATGAAGGATATTAGTTATCCGAAATATCTAAAATTTGTTCATGTTTTAATTATTTTTTGGTGATGTTGTACCCTTTTAGACTTGTTATATATTATATTTTGTAGTGTACTGTATCATAATTTTATGATCCATCGCCCCGTAAGATTTATCGTTAGCTATTATTCAGTCATTATATATATATATATATAGTTCTAATCAAACATCACAGAACTCTGCAGTTTTACAGCTCGTTCCAACAAATGAAGATTGAAACAGTTTCTGTTATGCATTTTTAATGGAAATATTACTCCTAAATATCGCTACAAAATATGTGTGTACCTGTACTTCGATAAAAGGTACCTCAACCAATTACAGACACTTAATGTCTTTTGGTTATTTTAGTCGATTGGTTGCTACCCAACATATCCTGTAATTCAAACCCAAGGATTTGGGTTAATTGGGTATATAAATGTGGTCATCCCTTGACTTCTCTCGTACGGCAGTAAAACCCTTACATGTACTTAAGTGGGACATTTATTTAGTTGTATACGGGATGTGTAAATACGCACATCCTATCGTTAAATACGATGCCTCGAGTAGGGCGAGTATCGCACTCTTTGGGTTTAAAATAATCTTGCAACAACTCTAGATCCCTGATGGGTCCGTATGAGACTTGTTGAAAATTGAAATGTATGCCCTCGTCCAACATACCCTAATATTTCATTGGCAGTGATATTTTCTCCCAGTCAACCTACCTTACAGAACCTTCTTATTGATTGTTAAATATACCCGCTCCGAAAGGAAGGATCTGTCCGTCCACTCCATAGAATTTTAGTCTCACATTTCTAAGGAACTACCAATCAAAGATTCCAAAAAGTATGGTATAACGCATCATGTGCGCATGCTATACGGAGTGGTCTATTTTCAAATTTATTGCTCTTCCACTTTCTGTTGACCTAATACTCATAATGGCCATATATAACATTTTAGTCTCGTTTTTCTCTACTACAAATAAGAGTTTAAATTTCTGAAATTTGGTATCAACCTTTATGTAAGCATGGTTTACTACTGTATGATACATTCATCGTTCATCAACATCCACTTTCTGTTTACCGAATACGCATACATGTATATTCTTGCACATGGTCACTTGACGTCGTTGAATGTTTCTAATGAACTCCAAATCAAGCCTTTTTTTAAATTTTTTGAATCTACTTTTATGTAGACCTACGAAAGCATTTGATGCTTTTTTTTTTTTTACATCAATCAACTTTCTGTTTACCGAATACTTCTAGCGGGGTATCATAAGTGAGCAATAGCTCACAGGTCAACTTAATTGTTTGTTCTCGTTCTAAATATGCATGAACCTACTTTATCCCGATAGCTCTGCTCGAGTGATTATTTTGGTGTAATGATGAAACGGTGGGTCATATTGAAAAAGCTATATATAAACCTTTGAATATTTATACTTTAAATAGGCGTTTTTTCTGTTGAGGATTGTAAAGCCTGCGCAATACCAGTTCAGTGACTGATGTTATCAACAAATGATCAATACGGATGGCTGATAAAGAACAATTGCCATTATAAATGAATTGTATTACACATAAAATTTAGTAGATTTACCACTAAGTATATTACTATAGATGTCAGAATTACTGCCTAATGAATTGTGATATAACGACAACATTTACAAGAAATGAGTAAGAATTAATGAAAGATGTGAAAAAACAAAATAAACAAAAATGACACCCAAACGGTCGTATGCATACTTACAGTTCTTTATGTATGTATGATATTTTATTTCAGGCGATAAAAAAAACAAATTTTCCATCCAGTGGGAGCCAAAAATTTTAAATACACAAGGTGTTGCCACTGTATACTGGGATCTTGTAGCTCGTAAGTTATTCCTTCTTATATTTGTCAGATAAATATAAATAAGTGAACGTAATATTAACAGATATTGGCAGCATACATGTACCGATTTTACACGTTCACATAACTATCAAATAGAAGCGTGTACATTATGACAAATGATGATTTATAGGGTACAAAAAAAAAAATGTATTATCAAAATTAAAAGATCTGTAATGATTGCTAATGAAACATCTATCCACCCAGATTACCTTTCTTTTAACAAAACATTCATTAAATTGTGCACTTACCCTTCCCGGAGCACCTGAGATCACCCCCAGTTTTTCGTGGGGTTCGTGTTGCTTAGTCTTTAGTTTTCTATGTTGTGTCTTGTGTACTATTATTTGTCTGTTTACCTTTTTTTTAAGCCATGGCGTTGTCAGTTTATGTTCGATCTATGAGTTTGACTGTCCCTCTGGTATCTTTGCCCCTCCTTTACTTAAATGTAGTTTTGTCCTTACAAAGAATCAGTGTTTACCATATTGTACCAACTCTCTTATTTGTCGGTCCACCACTCATAATGCATACATGTACAATGTTTCAAGTTTCATAAAATAATACGATGGTATTGTCAGTGAGAGTAAATTGCTAGCTGATTTGTTGATGTCCGTTGAGATCTTGGCACACTTTTATGACTTCATATTTGCAAATTTCTTTAGGCCTTTCTTTATTATCTTTATCACTACGTTGTTATCGACATTATAAGTATTAAGCTTAAGTCTTCTTATATCTGAGTGGCGTCATCCACGAAGATATGAGACGACTACATCTGATTTACATAGAAGTAATATATATTATTTTATCGTTTCTCTTGTTCTAAAAAGGGCAATTACCTTTGACAAAATTATGAATATTGCCTTTATCTCAATTTGTCAGATACAGTAACACTTTCAGAAGATGTTTTATAGTTATGGATTTGGAATGAAATCTTTATTGTGTTTTTTTTTCTGTTATCAAATTGATACCTTATCCTTGCTTGTGTATGGTAATATCGATCGCTGTACTATCTTGTCTTTTTCTCGTTTAATTGACAAAACCTGTACATTTTGCTGATAAATGATAGCATTTCCATGTAAACAAATTGATTTTTTTAGCTTGTGATATGGACAGCGGAAATGCACACATTGATGTGTACCTCCCTGAAATTCCGGACAGTCCAATATTTTCTCTGGACCAAAAGGGTACATGTGGAGATATAAAAAAGACAGTACCAAATTTAATCTGTCCCATAAAGAAAGACGGTAAGTGTAAAATGATTTTCTTCTTTTTTTGCTTGCTCTTTAGATATGTTTTCATATATATATATTTAGTTTTATGGATATAAGTCCGCTAATATAAATCGAAGGTGCAATTCTATTTTATATGAGAAAAGAAGACTACTTGCACATAAGTATACATATCATTCTGTAACAGTACCTCTTTTTCTTGAATGCATTCATAGTTACGTTAATAATTCGCAAGAGGTATTTAAAAAAAGTATTATATTTTATATTGGATATAAAATTTGCAGCTCAACCTTGCTCGGATTGATTATTACAAATTAAAACATACTTACAGAATTTAATAGTATTTAATTAATATTTCAGCTGAGATCAAAGGTCAGTTGACTGCCAGTGATTTGACAAGACTGCCAACCGTATGTATATTTAATTTATTTTTCTTCAGCTAAGCTTGTATTTATAGTTTCAACGCCTTGAAAATCGGAGAAATAATTGTTTATGTGTAACGCAAGGAATATTAAAATATCAAAGAAATCAAAAAGTATAAAGGCATCGTTAAACTTTTACAACATATATATGTGCATTTTGTCTATGCACTCATGTTAGCTGGTTGCTAGCCATCAATGGGGCAAATTTGAGAATTTCACGTATATTCAGAACAATTAATATAAACTTTCATTATTTCGGGTCTTAAAAGAGGGACGAAAGATACCAGAGGGACAGTCAAACTCATAGATCGAAAACAAACTGACAACGCCATGGCCAAAAATAAAAAAGACAAACAGACAAATAATAGTACAGATGACACAACATAGAAAACTAAAGACTAAGCAACACGAACCCCACCAAAAACTTGGGGTGATCTCAGGTGCTCCGGAAGGGTAAGCAGATCCTGCTCCACATGTGGCACCCGTCGTGTTGCTTATGTTATTACTAAGTTGCGTGAATGGATAAATGGGATTGGCAAGTTCACTGCCATTTGATATACAAGGATGACTGTACTGGATCAGGTCACAATTTAGTCGGTTATCTAAGGATCGTTCAAGAAAGTTGTTGCTTGGTCATTTGATATGCAGAAAGTTGCTTGGTCATTTGATATGCAGAAAGGTTTCATTCCCTCAAAAAGTGTTTTTATTTGATGGTGTTCGGACGTGACTTCGTATTTATAACTTTAGAGTAAACAATGCAAATGTTTCCTGTATCCTTTTATAACGAAGAAAAACCTGTTTAGTCAACGTGATTGATCACATTAATATATTGTTTTTACAAATTATTGTTTTTTGTTAAGTATATTTCCGTGTTTATTTTAGAAATACTTTTCAAGATTAATTTGAGGAAGGATTTTTTTTTTAATTCCTTTCTTTTCCCCTGAGGCAACACATTAATTTGATGATGATAACAGGTCTTTGGTAATCTCTATTTTATATTTATTTACGACTTGTTAAGAATCGAATTAAGATGATCTTTTCTGAGCATATGTTGATCCTATGTTGTTATCTTGCTGTCTGGTTGGGTTTTATTTTGTTGTTGAGTTGCTGTCTCATTTACATATCTTACCGCTTATCCTTTGTATCAATAACTGAAAAGCGTCATTGTGACGTAATGTTTAGTCTGAATTAAAGCCTTGCATCTTTGGTGAGTGTTATTCTGCATGAATGTGAGAATCTTAAAGTTTGTACGTGAAATGAACCAACGAAACAAGAATAAGGAGTTTATATTCCCAATCAACCTTGTCCACCAAAAAAGCTCTGTTAATTATGAATATGTTAATTACTATTTTCTGAGATATAATAATTTGCATTAACAAATTAAAAGGAGATGGATACATATATATCTATAACTCGTCTCAAATTTAGCCCAACAATGTTAGATCTTCGAATTTACGTTAGCAAATTTTTCTTCTTCATTCAGCGGGATTCGAACCGTTGCTTCTGTGACGACGTAGCAACACCGCCTGCACCGTGTCCAGCGCCCTAGACCACTCGACATATACGTCAATGAGACAGCAACACAAAACTGAGAGGACACTTAGAGGTTAACATACCCGGTATACGGTCCTGTTGATAGCAAATTATCGGGATTTATACATAAATATATATCAAATTGTTTACACACGTTCACATACGCGATGCCTATCTGATACTACATGTAAATACATACAAATGTGATACTTGTAGCAACATGCATTTATTATCTCATGAGTACATCTGTTTGCAAAAGTTCATTATTAATATAAATATCTTTTTTGACAGGGAAATTACACGATAGAGGTCAAGATAACGAACGACAAAAACGAACTGTTTGCTTGCGGACGAGCCAGTGTGGAACTGACCCCTTGAAGAGCTGACCATTCAAACTGAGCTAATTCAATTAAACTATGTCCTCAATTTTCTTATACCACTAAGACATTTGTAAATAATTTTCATCATCGATTTTTTTTCTGATTTTTTTTCCTAAACAATCTGGTAAGCCAGATGAGCCTTAAAAACCGAAAGTTCCGAATATAGATCTTACTTTCTCGTTATTAAACTGTTCAATGTGGTCTTTTTAAATTGTAACCTCTATTTTATTTAGACTCCTCTTGCGTTTCAAAAGCTAACGCGAATATGAAGGTTGTACCTTGTATATGAGAAATTATTCATTTCTTTATTATTTAAAAAAATTAGTACAGTATACATATACACGGGCATGTTAAGATTAATACAGCAAGATTGTTGTGTACTTAAAATATAGGTTCCTTTTTGTAAATAATTCCTGTTTCACAAATGGCGTTGTAACATACAATAAATAATATTATTAAAGTAACTATCTTTGTGCAATCACTTATTCTAAATGGTGATCGATTGGTTAGTTAACGACTTAGATTTAATAACATATGTTTGTATACATACATTTTAGTATAAAAATAAGTTCATATGATATGATTGCCATGCACTGAGACAACTCTCCACAAGAGACTTAATCATGTAATGAAGAGGGTTTTTTTATATATATATTTTATAGCCAAATTGCTGTTTAAATCATTTCATTTTTGAAAATAAAAATCTTGTAATAACTTGTTGTTACATGTCAACTTTGTGTTTGAAATCTGTTAAATATGACAAAAACTTCATACTAGAGTCGATGATCTATATTCTATGGCCTTTAAGGCACCAACCACTGATCTTTTAGGGTGATTTTTGTGTTTTGGGGATCAAACAATTCTTTTCAACTCTAAATAAAAAAAAAGTTTATTTTTCCAATAACGTGCATGAAAAAAAAATCTCATTTGATCGATGTTGTTTTTATTTTCAGTTTTACTATTTAGAAAAGAAACAATATATTTTTTTCCTTCTGGAGCACTTGATTCTTTATTCAAGAAATTTTGAATTAACAATCTATTTATTACTTCTACACCTACTACCACCGCCACCGTCACATTGCAATACAAAAGCGAACAGTAACCACAACATGAGTCTAAAGGTAGTCTCAGTGATAACTATAAGTTAATAATGGTATTATATACAAGGATATCTTGTAAACATAAAAGAAGCTTTGGAGAACAAGTCAATGAGACAGCAACCAAAAAAAAAACAAACAAATATAAATTACTACTGCCCAACGGAAAATTCAGACGACAAAACTAACGGGAGGTCAAAGAAAATCAACACTTATAACGAACAAGACCTGGATATGAACATAGAAATTGCTTAACACATCTATGATATGAAGTAAAGTCTAAAAAAATAAGCTTAGAATCAGGGAAAGTGTTCAGATGATCTAGAAAGAAAGCATTAAGAATCAGGGAAAGTGTTCAGATGATCTAGAAAGAAAGCATTAATAATCAGGGAAAGTGTTCAGATGATCTAGAAAGAAAGCATTAAGAATCATGCAGGGAAAGTGTTCAGATGATCTGGAAAGAAAGCATTAGGAATCAGGGAAAGTGTTCAGATGATCTAGAAAGAAAGCATTAAGAATCGGGGAAAGTGTTCAGATGATCTAGAAAGAAAGCATTAAGAATCAGGGAAAGTGTTCAGATGATCTAGAAAGAAAGCATTAAGAATCAGGGAAAGTGTTCAGATGATCTGGAAAGAAAGCATTAAGAATCAGGGAAAGTGTTCAGATGATCTGGAAAGAAAGCATTAAGAATCAGGGAAAGTGTTCAGATGATCTGGAAAGACAGCATTAAGAATCAGGGAAAGTGTTCAGATGATCTGGAAAGAAAGCATTAAGAATCAGGGAAAGTGTTCAGATGATCTGGAAAGATAGCATGATCTGGTTCGATGCGAGACCTGGTTAGTATAATTATAAAATTACATACGTCCGAAAATCAGTGGAACATTTTTTTGAAACTCGAATGCGTAGTTGTGTCAGCTTCCTCGTAAATAACGCTTGAACCAATCAAAGACTCGCAAATGGAATTTTTATTGCTGATTTACAATTTCTGAATTGGCCCATTTCAATGCACGTGTACTTTATCAACTTAGAAAAGAGAATGGCCAGGCGAAGAAAATATATGACACAATATGATGTTTTTCTTTTTTATTTCGGTAATAAGAAGAGGTTCTTCAATATATATGTAGGACTCAAATCTATGGTGGGTTCCAGATCTATGGCAGATTTCAAATCTATGGCAAATATGACGTCACAAACGCCATACAAATTATAAATCTATGGCAGTTTTTTGTTTTCTCCAAATCTATTGCAGATTTTTGAAATTGTATTTTTGGGTTTTGCGTAATTGTCCGAGGAAAAGAGTAAACTATAGCGTCACAATTAAATAACGTCATATTACCCGGGACTCACAGAGTTTTACAAATAAATACAAGGGAAACACTTTCCGCTTTCCCACTTGATAGTTTACAGGAAGATGTGACCTTTTATCCAGAAGAAGGACAACGTGTGCTGTACCGTCCTAATCCGGCGATGAAAAAAGGCGCCGCTGTTTTAGAAGCGAACATTTCAGGAAAGGAATTATAGTTGATTATGGTCGCCATCACGATTTGGTTGACCATTATGGAAGGTCCATTTCACAAATGGTTATGAATATGCTCCCGTTGTCGTACTCGTAATCTGTTTTTTTTAATATTGACTTTTACTTACTACCGGCTTTTTCGTTATCTTTGGACATTGCGACGGGTGCCGCATTCATATCATGCCATAGATTTGGAAACTAGAAAATCCGCCATTAAGATTAGGTCACTAGAAAATTTGCCACGGATTTGGATTTTTAAAAATCTGCCATAGATTTGCGATGGCATGACGACATTTTTACCATAGATAGGGAATCTGCCGTAGATCTGGAACTCGCCGTGGATGTGAGTCCTACATATATAATCCATGTAAGAGCTTTATTTGTAATTTAAAAGACTTCTAATCAGTGCATGGTCTTTTAATGAATTTTGTGTTCAATATCTTATGTTTGTGCACACCTTACAGCGTGAAATGAGTTCTAAATTAGATGCAACATCATGATCAATCATATTTTATGAACATCTGTTATCTTATGACGCTGAATTTAGTGTTAAATTGTGGTCTCCACATTTTATGATTGACTTTTAAGAAATATTTTGTGGAATAAATTTCTACTGTTATGTTCTCCGCATTATTATCTTTGTTGAAATGTTGTGTGAAATAAGCCCTCACGGGGATCCTTATAGCTAGTTGCTAACATCTATGTCATTTGGTCTCTAGTGGATGGTTGTCTCATTGGCAATCATACCGTGTTTCACATTTTTAGATTATATTAACTACTAACGTTAACCATACAAACATATTGCGAAACCAGGCCCGAACAGAATGGACACACTAACCGTAATAGTCAAATGATCATACATATTGTAAATAATAAAACTACCCATTTGAAGTGTTAATAGAAATTATTACATTGGTAGCAATGAATTACATTGATTTCCCAGTCAAATAAAAACTGATATTTTCACATGTGAAATAAACGTGGTTATTTCACTCTCTGACGTCATACAACAATAGGCGTTGTCAAGACGTCGATAACGTCGGATCAAAACAAATTGTGAATGCGTAGAAAAAAGATATAGTTCCTTACATTTTCTACATTAATTTCATTAAAAAAAGCCATTTGCCAATGTAATAAAAAGAATAACTAATCAAAGAATTCAAATATCGAAAAATATTCAACTCGTGACCGAACAACACTGATAATTAACTCATGCGCTACGCGCATTCGTGAATTAATGTGTTGTTTGGTCACTCGTTGAATATTTTTCTCTATTTGAATTCTTCGATTAGTTATTCTATAAATATCACCATTATCATAGCTATTGATTTGATAAACAATATGCGATTTTATCAATATCTTAAGTAGAACGAAGTTTTCAACATACAGAGGAAGTAACAAAATTACATAATTGTTTCGTTCAACGCACATATAAGTGATTGTTCTTTCATGTACTTCCTGATTGAGGTGCACAAGGATAATAGTTTCGTTGAAAGGTGCCCAGAGGTAACAGATCGTTGTCTATCATTTTACACATTTTGTCATTTAATAAGGATATAACATTCTTGTTTTTATATATTCAAGTTCCTGTCCTAAGTCGAGAACTTTGTCACTATTGTCCCATCATTATCATAACATTAAATTGTTGTTTTTTTTTTCATTTAAGTAATTTGGGGTTGCTAGCAGTTTTTTGATAGTCTTTAAGACTGATATATTTATTCAGTTGTATAGACCATATAGAAACGTATAGCTTTGGGAATTATATAGACATCTGCCTTTTTATGAAGGCCATGTGTTGAGTTCTATATGATTTTTATTGGTACGTATTGTGTTGTTCGGTCCCTTTCTCACAAACCTCCTTTTATTTATAACAACGTACAAAAATCAAAGCTTCGTTAAGCGTTATTGTCTCGAATTACCTTGGTTGTCAGAATTGCTCACTGTGAATTCAAAATTGTATGCGTGCATTTATTGCTGTGAATAATGTCTTAAACTGAATTGGATATGAGATCTGCAATGCTGGTAAGTTACCATGACTACAAGTAAATTGTAGCTATAATTCATATAGATACAAGAGACATAGTTTCTTGTTTTGACCATACACATAAATCTCTGTAATACGAAAATTCACGCAACACTTTTATTTAAACAAAGAAATGAACATATTTGAAGGGCCAAGTGAGCTTTAAATTTGCCATCACTTATCTATCGTCGTCCGTCGTTCGTTATCTTTTACAAAGATCATATCCTCGGAAACTACTGGAACAAATTTAACCAAACCTAGCCACACTCATCATTGGGGCATCTAGTCAACAATGTGCCCGATAACCCGCCTGCCGACAAACCTGGCCGACATGGCTAAATATGCAGTTGTTGTCTATTATCTTGAAAATCATTATAGATAGAGAAAATCTGACTGGGCAAAAATGTTAAGAAAGATGAGATCTACCTTCTGTATATCGACATACAAACTGTAAGACGACTTCTTATTGCAAAGAAATGAACATATTTGAAGGGCCAAGTGAGCTTTAAATTTGCCATCACTTATCTATCGTCGTCCGTCGTTCGTTAACTTTTACAAAGATCATATCCTCGGAAACTACTGGAACAAATTTAACCAAACCTAGCCACACTCATCATTGGGGCATCTAGTCAACAATGTGCCCGATAACCCGCCTGCCGACAAACCTGGCCGATATGGCTAAATATGCAGTTTTTGTCTGTTATCTTGAAAATCATTATAGATAGAGAAAATCTGACTGGGCAAAAATGTTTAGAAAGATGAGATCTACCTTCTGTATATCGACATACAAACTGTAAGGCGACTTCTTATTGCAGCTATTGCCCTTTTTCCAATTTTTCCAATTTTTTTTGTCTATTCCCAGCAGACATTTGACGTTGTACAAACATCGATTCGACATCAGACCCTAACGTTGCACCAACGTTAGATTTTGGTTGGATTTGAAATTTTTTAGACGTCAAAAACTGACGTCAACCCAACGTCTTGACATACGTCCGTTAAACGTCTGTACAACGTAGTAATAACATCAGCATAACGTTGGTACAACATCAGATCAACCAGCAGGATGAACCCGAATAAG